TTTTGCCCCCCCCCCCTCCCCCTTCAGCTGTTCCCCTGCTTGATTGCATGCGGGACTACGATGTTTGTTTGGCTTCAAAAGGAGCATGACAAAAAGCCCATGCAGGCAGGCAGGTCGTTGTCGTTTTATGTTGCCGTGGACTAAATGGTTTGCTGGGTTATTAAACGCAGCGTACAGCTGCTTGTCTCCAACATAATGTATTCTAAATCCCTCCAGAGTATAACCATCTTTTATCCTCTCGCTGAGAGCATTTTGTTGTGCAATTGTTACACTACGGGCTATATAAAGAGAGCGGCAGATGAAATCGTGGCATGTGTTGCTAATTAATGTTTGGGTACGGGCGATACGAGAAAACACACACCACAGGACTCGAGGAAAGCCATCTTCGACGTCGCAACGTGATGTATTCCAAAATATGCCCACTCGTCAAATGAATACCTAATGGTATGTAAATATCAATAAACACAATGACATCAAGAAAAAAAAATGATTGGACGAAAGAGTCGACAGTACTTTCGGGAGATGCGCGTCCCCTTTTTTAGGCCTCCAGCGTTGAGGAAAGCTCCAGTTAGGATGGCCTAAAAAGAGAGTTAAACAATCATTTAGCGTTGTCTGCTTTCATTCATCAAAGCCCATACAAGTGGAGGACTCCCAACACGAGCCACTATTAGCTTGCTTTTTACGCAAGCAGCTGGATGCGATTTCACGTTTGAGGTGTCTGCCTGAAAGAGGAACATTTATTATAGCTCAACATGTCAGCGGGCCCAGGTCGTCTTCTGCCTTTCAGTGCGTGCAGGGCGGCCGCTTTGTTCAGTCGGAACACAACTCGGGCCTCCATTTGAAGTTTTAGTACGTTTCTGCGTATGTTTTATTCCTCGTGTACTTTTCTTCTGACACGTAAAAAAAAATGTCACTCAGCCTCCTGATTGCACTCTTTTACACAAACAAACAAACAAACAAACAAACAAACAAACAAACAAAAAGACTAGACAACCGATGTTTATTTACGCGCGTATTGATTGTACACGCCTACGATGACGACAAACATGATTTGTAATATCACCCAGCGTGCAGCCAAATCGGAGTCCCTGCTGTTTTTTTTGTTTTTTTAGAAGGTCCCTGAATGCAACACAAAGGGCCAACTCCTCGTGCCCGCGGGCGCGCGTGCTTGCGTGCGTGCGTCAACGTTTGTGCAGGTTGTCATAGCAATACGTCAGCTTTGGTCATGTTTCTCCTTTCTGAAGGATTTCTCGAACGCTTGTGAGCGTGAAAGCGCGCGTCCACGAGAACGCGCGCGGGTGAGAGCAGATTGCTGCGTAAGCGGATCCTTTTGTGTTGATTTAGGAAGACGTTTGCGGTATATAACGTTCAAGGCTGATAATATCATTGCCTGGCCAGATAAATAAAGCAGTGGCCTAAACCATCGGGTCGGCGATCGATCCGCTTTCTCTACCCGAGACAG